CGTTTTATCCATTTCGTACAGTAAGTTGGGAGTGAGTCCTGGATAATGTTACGACACTCATTCTATTTGATAATTAAAAAGAGGACGATATTTAGGTCCTTAACTAAGGAATGACGATATTAAGTTCTCCTGTTATAACATGGGAACTGGGGCCATAAATGTATTTGGAATTACTGCAATTTCATGACGTAAGTGTATTGTCACTGATATTAACATCTTTACACACTTCGCTATAATTAAACTCATATTTCCGGGTAGATTTTTTGTAAACATAACAAATAAGAGGGAGCTCAGTATTATCAAAATAACCAGGAATTTGTTCTTTAACGGAATGATCATTAAGAATACCGGCAATATTTACAAAATCAAAACCTTTATTGATATATTTGATTTTAACGAAATGTTTTTTATGATCTTCACCAGGGCGATCAATTTTGGGAAACAGTTTAGAATAATAATATGCAATTATAATTTGGACGATTTCATACTTAGGACTGAAATATGGAATTGTGTTGCAATCCTCCAAAATTTGATGTAATTTATTAACAGGTAAAGAACAGAACTTGGTTAACAGATAATGTCTGCAAACCTATTATATTCTGTTTTTTTTTTCTCTTTATCTTAAAATGAATGAGGTCGAACAGGGACTATCAATTTAATATGTCTCAGAGTCGATCAATTATACTTTTTACTTCAAAAGTATCTAAACAATACAAACCCACTATCGCAGAAACATTAAATTGCTCACATATTTAAAAAACGTTAAAATGAGGAATATGAAAACCTTTCGATATGATTTCGAAAAAAACATTAATAGGGTCCCGAACCGACCAATTTCAAATCGTACGGAAATCGTTAAGTGGAAAGACTCGCAAGACATTGGATGTGTTCAAAAACGATGTCTTAATGAGTAAGCAAACTATCAAAAGGTATGTACTCGTTTTGAAGCTTTCAAGTAAAATTACGGAAAAGTTATACTTGAAATAGAATACTTTAATCAATCATGATGCAGCAACCTGTAAAGAGCGCCCAAAGTCAGCATTGGAAATTCTGGAAATTTAATTGTGGCGTGAATGTTGTAAAACGCCAGCTTTTAAATTACGTTTGTAAGCATCATTTAACATATCAACGTATATTTAAACAAAACTTTGAATTTTGATAACTTAACATTTTCGGAAATATGGCCATTGTGAAAACTATTCGTTTTTGCCAAAAAATCAGTTTGGCCGACAAATCACCGTAAATTCGATAATGAAACCATACATAAGATATGCCATAGAACATTCAAATTTTATTATTATTATTATTATTTTTATTATTCATTCGCAAATTATGCATTCTTCTGAAGAGCGGAAACACGCCTGTAGAGTTTATTATTCGTAACGAAACCGTCTGGCACGCACCATTTTCGCGTTTTGATAAAAATCATTAAAAGAAATAAGATCAAGTCTGATAGATTTTAAGAAACGGTCGTTATACATGTTAAACATACTAAGTTTATAGATACAAAACACAAAATATAGCTTACCTGTTAAATGTAGGATTTTTTTTTATCAGAGTTGCTTATCATATTGTTGTGAACGTTCGTAACGTCAACAGTATTGGCGCTGGAATAGGTCACTATTTAACGCTTCATTATATATTATAAGGGTGAGAAATTTAGATAAAATGTATGATAAGGTTGCGGAATCCATCACTAGTATCTTAAACAACTGAGTCAGATGTTAGTATTTTTTAAAGATGCGATTAAAACCACAGTTGTAAATGCATCTGATGTTTGTTAAACTTAGAGTAATATAGCGTTTAGTCTATTTTTTGTCAAAACATATATGATAGGGTAATGTCTTAACAACACTATAATTTTGGAAAACTAAATTAGACTCAACTCAAATATACATTTTGCCGTGCAGACAGACTGGAGCCAGCATTTAATCAAATTTTATGTCATCTAATACAACAATACAGTAATCTCATTATATGCATACATACTTTATCACAATGATAGAATCTATTTAAAGTAAATCACACACAACTTGGTAAAACAAAAATATACTAAATGTACCATGCAGCAACAAAAGTAGTAAATTTCTATATACTTTCGAAAAAAATCCTAATATTAAATATCATATTATGAATACCCGTCATAAACGGACACTCGCCCAGGAAAAACAAATATTTTGGAAACCTGCGTCGCGGGGCAATGCAAGAACCGTTTCTGGGTAAAGAAGCCGAACTTCATCATGAATATGACAATATCAAAACTGACACGAAAAGGTAGTTTTGATACTACGGCTAGAATGACCACCTAAGCATTTTTTCTCGTATCCGCGAGAAATTATTACCATAACAAAACATTAGGTCACCTGACGTACCAAATCATACATCATTGGCCCATACAAAATATGATCGAAATTTTAGGCAGTATTTTTCCGCTATACTGCAAAACGCGGAAACATGTAACTATGTACTTTTTGATATTCAAAATATACGAAATGGTTGGGATGTTGGATGTCCTACCACAAAAGAATTGAAGTGACCCCTTTACCCGTGATTTAAGTATATTGCTATCCAGACCCTTTTATATTCTAATTCCAACAAGAGTTTACAACTTTCTGATTTTACAGCTTCCTACTTCTTTCAAATGTATGGCCCAGGATTAATTTAATCCCCACTCTAGTAGTTTGACTGAATATCTCTGACATGGAGAAAACATGCATGTTCTTATGATATGTTCAACTAAACAATTAAAAACGGGAGAAATTCTGACTCATTTTTATACATGAATGGACGGAATTCCCAATTCTTATCAAAATGAACTCACAACATCAGTGTTGACAGGCTAGTGATACAGTAGTTGAACTACTTAGACCACTCGACCACGAAAGCCCTGAAACGTAAATTAATATATTAAAACCGTTTCTAAATGTATGTAAATACAAAATGTTTTGTTGTCAATATAATGGAATTCTATGCGACTGTCATACAAGTGAGTGGTTTAGCTACTATAAAACCAGGTTTAATCCACCATTTTCTACATAAGGAAATGTCTGTACCAAGTCATGAATATGACATTTATTTTCCATTTATTTGACGTGTTTGAGCTTTTGATTTTGCCATTTGATTAAGGACTTTCTGATTTGAATTTTCCATGGGGTTCGGTATTTTTGTTGTATTACTTTTTGATTTCCTGCAACGTTAAACTATATACTTTTGCTTGTAATATTAGTAACATAAAATATTGGAAAAATCATTAAAAAATGCACTTGTCATTCACAAGTTGCATCCTGTAATTACTGTTAAAATTCTGTTTTCATTTAATTGATGGACATCGAGTGTAAAATATAAATGAGGTCACAATAGACAATCAATAGTTTAGGCTTTATATACAATCCCGTGAGAAATTAGAGATCAAATATGAATTTCCAACTTTTCTGTCGATATGTAGTTTATGGCGGCCTTTCTGGGGGTGACAATTAAAGTAGGAAAGGAAATAAATTATGTACATTCAAGACCAATGCAAAATAAATTTATGCAAATGTGCTCGAGTAAAGCTTGATCGATTTTATATGGTTGTTTGATGGATTTTTTTCATGAAATTTGTCCATTAGATAAATAAGAGGAATGTTTATATTAACTTGCGGAGATCGTGTTGTTCGTTAGTCATTTTTGTTCAAGACACAATCTAATTTGAATAACAACAGCCAACGTAAAAGGTGAAACCCATATTTATATATATGTTTTCAATTTAGACTTGTATATATACAATATATGTACATTGTCGGAAAATATAAACATTATTTTACGAGCTTTCAAAACAGGACGAAAAGCGAGGCTCGCAAAGCTTTTCTTCTGTTTCTTATCTAGTACAAATACATTTTATTATTCCGACAATGTACATATATTGTTTTTATCCTGCAATTTACACCGGCACTTGAAGTTTTAGTTATTGAAATCCAAATAGTTGTCTCAGATTTTTCAAAGACATCGGCATAGTTTAAACGAGGACCGCAAAGAGGACCCTAAAATGAACTGTCACGCAATAAGAAATATTCACATTACCGCTTGCTCACACATGGAAGCGGGGTAACAGGAAACTTTATTTGTACAAGTGCAAAGAAAGCAAAAATTTAATTGTGTACCTGTTATTTGTACAATAGTTGGCTGATTGCAGATAAAAGAATATATATAAAGATGAACTATAATTGCTTTGTTACCAGAGAAGTTTTAAGCACTATCAGCTTGAATTCGGCGTTATCCGATATATCTAGAATTATTGATTGTTGCTGGCTTTAAGTCCAGTCGAACTATTTCGGGAAATATTGACTATCACAAGAACATAAGGTTATCTTTAATAGGCATTGAAATTTTGTCCGGAGACAGGTCATCTACGGACCCCATAAAGTTGTTACAATGGTGTATATGCCATATATAAATCGTGGCACTGTTTGTTACACGATGCATCGAATTTAACATCCTATGTTTTTCCTTGCTTGACGTAGCTGCGTACTAAAACATGCCGAGCAGCCAGAAAGGACGTCCCTTTTTAGCATTGGTTTTAATGCCAAATGAGAAAAGTCTAGGTGATCATAAATTGTATTTCTATAATACCTGTCAACCCTTGGATATTACCTACCTAATATTGTTTTTATGTTTTAATATTTTGTCGTCTGTAATCACCAATTATATGGTTGTTTTTTTTATCTGATTTTGCTTCGCGATTTTTTACCTCATGCGGTTGAAACTACTCACCTTCACACAACACTTATATTCACTCCGTTTTTTTTTTAAGGTTCGTAGGTTTCAATCTTTAGTTGTCAGTGTAGGACGTGTTTGGTTGACTTTCATCCTTTTTCCTGGTCACTTTGTTGTCTGTCTTAATGCGACTTATGATATTTGATTGCCCCTTTTCGTGTATTCCTGTTTTTTTTATTATTTATTAAACTACTGATATAGTTTATTTGGGGAGTGTTGATTAATATTAATCCATTTGTTTATTACAGGTTCAGTGGGGCATATTGAATTCTAGTCATCCACTAACAATAGGTGATCTAACCTGGACTTCAGATAAACGTTTCAGTGTATCTTCGTCAAACTATAACAGAACAGTAGAAAGATGGAACCTCGTAATAGATAATGTGCAACCGAAAGATACAAATACCTACGAATGTCAAATATCCTCTATTGTAACACGACTACGTTTAGTTCATTTAACAGTATTACGTAAGTTAGCTCATATTTACAACTCCTCGTCCAATCAAATTGCGTGAATTTCCCTTCTTAGTTTCATAGTACATTCTGCGTTCATAATGATAAGGAAAAGGTGGAAAAAGTATTTAAATGGAATAAACAAAATTCTAGAATAATACTATAGAGACGATAGCAGAAAAACATACATGTACAAAATGTACATGTAGTTCAAGGATACTTAGGAATATGAAAACGTAAAACATCACAGCAATCGAATAGTAAAGTCCTAACCTCTAAACCAAAGACTTAAAAATATAGTATCAAACATACATAGGGCAAACACAATAAGAAAAATAAAAATGTTAACGACAGTAAGAGATCCTATTACAATATATTTTACAAGTTGTAACCAATTTGCAGTGTTTATTCTCAAACATTTGTAGACTTGTGTATGAATTACATTTATATTGAACTTCATCAATATTTAACACAAAAGAGCTGAGTTATATGAACCATTTTATGTATAATCGTGTGACAACGTATAATTTAAATCATATAATCATGACATCGATTAAGGCTACTTTCAGTCTGTAGAAATCAGAATATTGTTTTGATTCAAGTGTGCTTAATGTGTTAATGATTTATTAGTTTAGGTTCAAAAACTTTTGGTCTTAATCGTACCCTAATTCAGAATCGTGTGTTAAAGTCTGAAATTGGTTTTATGTGTTTGATCAATGAATTTTTATTATCTTTTGGTTGACAACCTTCCTTAATTTATGTTTAGAGTTTTTAATATAAAATGTAAATTTTATTTGATGTCTAGTATTTTATTTTAGCCACACAGAGAAAAATATCTCCTGGTATGTATTGTTAAAAATCTATTGTTAATTAGTTAATTTAGAAAAGTCTAAGTAATACTATGAATAAAAGTACATGCGGGGTTTACGCTAATAATAAAGCAGCCCAACGACACATAAAACAAAAACACCAAGGGGTCAATGCATGGTTTTCAACAATAGTTATGTTTCAATACAATGTGTCAAGCTTTAAATCGTTCAGGTCCTAGAACAGTTGTAAGCCTTTACAAGATCTGGCATTAATATCTTGTTTCCAACAAAAAGCCTTTTAATTAAGTCTTCTTACAACATTTAGTTGTGGATTTGTGTGGCTGCCATTTTTATATACACTGCAATATATTTTGCATTTTATTATATTGCATTTTTATATGATACAATAAAATCATTTCTTCCATTTTTTTGCGTATTTAGGCATAACTTGCAAACCCCACTCAATTTTTAACCGTAAGTCCGAAATCTGTTATACTTAGAATGCGTATCATCATGTGTAGTGGACAATATTAAATCGACATTTTGGCCTGTTGTAGCGTAATGCAACTATGGGTTCTTTTGTCAGATATCTTTCATATTTACTAGGTTTGCTAGTCATCAGGTATTTCACTATCACTTCGATTAAATGATTTATGCAGGAGGTATCATGGTATTTATCTAATAAACTTTTGACTTATTGCATGCAAGCACCTCATATTATGTGACGGGGTTGTATTGTGAGTTATATTTGTGTATGATGATTCATATTCTGGTAATGAATATATTAATGAACTATCAATAACGTTCAATCTTTTGGCATAATATGTGAACGTTCCATGATGTTATTATAGACTACATGTATCTGCCGTTGATCTTTGGTCTAGTCTAGTACTCTTGAATATTAAATCGCACAATTACAAAGCGGCGGGGAACATTGTGCAACTGTGTAATAGTTTTGTTATTATTAATCCTCCCCTTTTCTAATACATTGTAGCTTGTTTTCATTTTTTTTTTTGCACATTCTCTGCTCAATTCAAAATTTTCTGTCTTATGCATAAACTATTTGTCACCGCGCGTTATATTTCTATTGCGTGTTCACTGCACTAAATATTTATTTTTTGTGTTATCTTTGTCTGGGAATTGCCGTCAAAATGTTTTCTCATTTTTGACACTCAATTAGTTTCGACTCTCTTAAAGACAATAACACAGATATCGTATGTAATCCTTTGAAATATGTCACCCTTAATATTATTATTATATTGAGGAAATTATAAAAAAAACAAAATACGTGTATGTCTAATCTTCCAAGGTGGTTTTAATATATGTGTAACAATTCAAACCCATACTAAAAATTTTCATCTTACCAAGTGTTCGCAAGCTTACATGTGTAGCAATTAAGACCCATACAAGTACGTCCCATCTTACAAAAGTGGTCTCCATCTTCCATGTGTACCAATTTAGACCCAAACAAGTAAATGCATTTTTCATTTTACCAAGTGCTCTCAAACTTACATATGTTAATAAAGGCAACAGTAATATACCGCTGTTGAAAAGTCATAAATCGATTGAGAGAAAACAAATCAGGGTTACAAACTAAAACCTAGAGAAGCACATCAACTATAAGAGGAAAACAAAGGAACAACAGAAACACTGATATGCAACAAAAACAAAAGCCAACGTACACAGAAACGAACTATTTGATAACAACTGCCATATTCCTGACTTGTAACAGGATATTTTAAGAAAAAATGGTGGGTTGAACCTGGTTTCATGGCTAGCCAAACCTCCCGCTTATATGGCAATGTTAAAAAATATCGCTAAAGTGACAACACTACGTGACAGAAATACAGCACAAACACACGCAAGAACACTCATCACAGAGAAACGCACAAATAAATAATATAATAGTCGATACAACATGTAAACAACAGAATAACAAAGAACATCTTCCATTAACGACAGACAGCACAGGACATCAAACAGTGACGTATTTTTGTAACGAATATATAATCTTGAAATTCATACAAATATTTTTACAATACTAGTCCAAACAATTATCATGATAATGACGGTATTGAAAGGCTATTTTATAAGTATTTGGACTACAAACGATAAGACATAACACATTATCCAATCAAAACCACAACAGAAACATCATAAATAAATACATGAATGTTAGATGTATAAAATACCGAGACACGTCGTATAGCAATGCAAATTCACACTCGGCAAAACAGTCATATTCGGGAATAGGTCACGTTCGGTACTTAGCAGACAGACGACATAGATGTTAAAACACAATCTAAGACGTGGTAAAAATGTCATTAGTTAGTTTAGACACAGACACATCGTATAGATCAACCAATTTGTGATGGTGTCCATAAAATGTATGTAACAATAACGACCCAAACTAGTACGTCTCATCTTACAAAAAAGAATATTAAAGAGATCAGGCTTATAATTTTGTACTACGAAGTTGAAGAGCATTGAGGACCCAAAAATGGTTTCAAGCTTACATGTCTAACAAATAAGACCCATCCAAGTACGTTTCATCTTAACAAGAGGTCTTAAGTTTACATATTATCAATTTAGACCCATACACGCACGTATCATCTTACCAAGTGCTCTCAAGCTTACATGTCACTACAAACCAGTAAAAGTCTGAAATGGCCTATATCTGTACTCGACTGTACTGATTTTTACTCGACCAGTCTGAATTGGTCTGAATTTTACTCGACATTACTCGACCCCAGTCTTAACCATACTCGACTGTACTGATTTGTACTTGACCCTTATCTTTGCCATTGAAAATAGTCTGAACTATTACTCGACCAGTCTGAAACAGTCTTAACCCATTCTCGAACTGTACTCGACCTATTTTTTTCAGTCTAAACCATACTCGACCAAAGGTCTGAACAATACTCGACCAGTCTGAACCATACTGGACCAAATAACCTCTACTTTTTTCTAATTTTTATCTGTTAAAATAAGTTTCTTTTTAACTTACATGACAACAGCCACAATAAAATAAAGATATATTATAAAAACAGATTTTTACATTATAACATGATTCTCAGATTTATCCAATAGAGATAGTTAAATCAAATTATCTTATATAATAATTTAATTATATTAATTTTAAAGTTTTAGAGTTTTGTTAAAAAAAAGAGTTTCTTTTACCTAAAAACCACACCTATACTGAGGGTAATTAAACCTGGTAAACGGACAGAAAGTCACAGGACAAAAAGTCACAAGACATAAAGTCACAAATTTGATAGGACAAAAAGTCACAAATAATTTGTTGACAATTGTTTGAATATATAAGAGAAAGATCTTGAAATATTTTAGGTGCTTCTTGTTTGGCATGTGTTATTTTTTTTAAATTAATTTTCCTAAATTCCTAAATAAGAACTACATAGGTTTCATGGTTACATACAAAAAATGTACAATAGTTATACAATGTATAATTATCTTTTTAATGAGGTAACAACAGCCAACAAAATCACTGAAATTGTTTAACCTTATTTTAGAAATATATCTATTATTATAATTTGGGATATATTCTATACAATATATATCAAAAAGGGATAAAAATTAAAGAAATTAATAAAATTGTTCTTCTGATGGTGTCTTCCCGATTGTCCCACTTTTTGAAATTACAGGTAAAAAAGTAATGAAATTTTGTGGGACAATCGGGAATATGTTTGTGGGACAATTGGGAAGTTTAAATGTGGGACAATTGGGAATTGTTTTGATAGTGATTAATTTGTTTTTATAGTCTGTGTCAGTTAATTACAAGTTACTAATCACTGTAACTTATAAAATATGAAAAAAAAACATGAACAAATAATAATACTAACATATTATATTTTGCACATACATGTAGTAGGTACAATTGAAGTATCATCAAACATGGAATATAATATGAAATCATAAAATTTTAGTCTTAGATGCATGATTTTTTTAATTAGTTTTTATTGGCTTTGAACTAGCTGTCAGTAACTGCGAATACTCTAAGATCTGTACTTAGTGTCTTTGTTGTGGGGATGTATAAGTAGCCATCCACGTCCATGTCCACTCTGTGATTTGTTAGATGTATTTCTGTCTGTACCCATCTGATGAGATAAGCCTTTTTCAACTTATTTTTTTTAGTTTATTCTTATGTTGTACTGTAACATCACTGTCCCAGGTTAGTGGGAGGATTGGCGCCTTCAAATAAGTATAACCCCGCCACGTTCTGTATGTGTCTGTCCCAAGTCAGGAGCCTGTAATTCAGTAGTTGTCGTTTGTTACTGTGTAACACATTTGTTTTTCGTTCATTATTTTGTACATAAATTAGGTCGTTAGTTTTTCTAGTTTGAATTTTTTTACATTTTTCATATGGGACCTTTAAAGCTGACTCTGCTGTATGGGCTTTGCTCATTGTTGAAGGCCGTATTGTGACCTATAGTTGTTAATTTCTGTGTCATTTAGTCTTTTTTGGAGAGTTGTCTCATTGGCAATCATACCACATCTTTTTTTTTTTGGAAGTCTGGTTCTTCTTTATAGTTGGTGACGAGTCCTGTTGACTGCACTTTATGGCAAATATACTGGGAATATTGGAAAAACAACCTTTGATATTGATTCTTAGAAAGGCTGATCTGGCAGAATTCTAGACAACAGCTTCGTTATCAAAAAAAGGAAGTTGTTGGGTTCCGGTGAATCTGACGTTGGGTGTTAGCAGTCTTCAATAGTGCAGAGAATGTTGTATTAATGTCCTCTGACTTCCCTAGTAAAATTGTAAAGACTTCTGGAAAAATCTCTCCATCAACAAGTTCGTGTAAAGTGTAGAATGTAAATGAGTTTATACCTTTTTTTTTTTAAATTGCATGCATTATTTATTCAAAAACTTTATAGAGAAAATGTAATTAAAATTACGGTATTGAAATTTGTTTTATAAATAACGTAACATTGTAGATATATTTCATAAATCAGAAATAAATTTTTTTTAATCAAAAGTGCATTAATCAAATGATTTAAAAAACATTTTTTTTATACTTCTATAAAATTAATATTAAATGTGCAATAAATTAATTCTTGTTTATTTAGCAAAACAAACAACAGTTACATTGTTTATCTAAGAACATTTTACTTCATAAAATAATGTGGGACAATCAGAACTTTTCATGTGGGACAATCAGAACTCTAAAATTTTAAAAAGTGGGACAATCGGGAATAAACCTGTCTTTGTTGTGGGGATGTATAAGTAGCCATCCACGTCCATGTCCACTCTGTGATTTGTTAGATGTATTTCTGTCTGTACCCATCTGATGAGATAAGCCTTTTTCAACTTATTTTTTTTAGTTTATTCTTATGTTGTACTGTAACATCACTGTCCCAGGTTAGTGGGAGGATTGGCGCCTTCAAATAAGTATAACCCCGCCACGTTCTGTATGTGTCTGTCCCAAGTCAGGAGCCTGTAATTCAGTAGTTGTCGTTTGTTACTGTGTAACACATTTGTTTTTCGTTCATTATTTTGTACATAAATTAGGTCGTTAGTTTTTCTAGTTTGAATTTTTTTACATTTTTCATATGGGACCTTTAAAGCTGACTCTGCTGTATGGGCTTTGCTCATTGTTGAAGGCCGTATTGTGACCTATAGTTGTTAATTTCTGTGTCATTTAGTCTTTTTTGGAGAGTTGTCTCATTGGCAATCATACCACATCTTTTTTTTTTTGGAAGTCTGGTTCTTCTTTATAGTTGGTGACGAGTCCTGTTGACTGCACTTTATGGCAAATATACTGGGAATATTGGAAAAACAACCTTTGATATTGATTCTTAGAAAGGCTGATCTGGCAGAATTCTAGACAACAGCTTCGTTATCAAAAAAAGGAAGTTGTTGGGTTCCGGTGAATCTGACGTTGGGTGTTAGCAGTCTTCAATAGTGCAGAGAATGTTGTATTAATGTCCTCTGACTTCCCTAGTAAAATTGTAAAGACTTCTGGAAAAATCTCTCCATCAACAAGTTCGTGTAAAGTGTAGAATGTAAATGAGTTTATACCTTTTTTTTTTTAAATTGCATGCATTATTTATTCAAAAACTTTATAGAGAAAATGTAATTAAAATTACGGTATTGAAATCTGTTTTATAAATAACGTAACATTGTAGATATATTTCATAAATCAGAAATAAATTTTTTTTAATCAAAAGTGCATTAATCAAATGATTTAAAAAACATTTTTTTTATACTTCTATAAAATTAATATTAAATGTGCAATAAATTAATTCTTGTTTATTTAGCAACTCATGAAAAAGATCACACCTGGTCAGAGATTATTAAGTTCTAAATAACATTCATTCAAAATTGCAACATCCTGTGAAACTGAAATCGCAAGTCCTTTTGAATTCACTAGATAAGTAGTACACGAGTTTAAGAAAAATAGGGCTTTCTTTTTACCTGTAAAACACACATGTACTGAGGTAATTAAACCTTATTAAAGTGCTTCTTGTGTGCCATGTCTTTAATTTTGACAAAAATTATTTAAATTTAATTGAAATAAATATTTACTGTAACTTTGGAACACATTTCCTTTTTTAAAAGTTTATCACAGGATTACTATGGAAGTTCTATTATCATGATTATATTAAATTCTTGGTTTAACAAAACAAAGGTGTCATTTTTGAATTTATTAAGTTGCTTTTTATGCTATTTTATATATATTTAAATAAAAAAAATGTTCACTGCATTATTAACCGAACTCGACTGACACCATAAATCTATACTAGGCTTAAGTTAATGGTGAAAATTGTCCAGTAACAATAAAATATATCTGAAACATTCAAAAAATTTTGAATAACATTGAAAATATTAGTCACAATTCAGTTTTGAGATTATTTGATCAGCTTGTTTTATTTTTATTTTAAAGGTGATATCTATGTATGTATATAAGTGTTGATGAATATGGTGATGAAGTTATATTATGTTTATTGTGAAATTTTGGTTTCAATGCTATATTGAATACATTTTTAATTTCAAATTGCTGTTCAAATTTCTAGCCAGGGGAAATAGCTGTTGTTAAAAACAGTTCCTTAAACGTCGTATCTTATCCAGTGGTCAAAAGCTTACACGTGTAACAATTAAGTCTCATACCAGTACGTCTTATCTTACCAAGTGGTCTCAAGCTTTACCTACTGGTATGCAACATTTAAAAAACAATCCCCAACGATCCCAATCATCGATTCAGTGTTCGTCAATTATGATCAATGTTAACTCATTGCTCTTAAACCATTTGATTGATCCTGAAGTGTCTATAATTTTACTGAGTTAAGTGGATTTTCCAGTACATTGGACTGTAGTAGAATTTGCTTTCCTTTTTTCTAACAACTTGTTGGAGATGATGAGCGCAAGTTAATTTAACACCAAGTTATCAATAAAATGCTCTATGTTATCAATGATCTATCCTTTCTATTAAAAATTTCAGGCTGAAAACGTTATATAGGATTATGATGTAAATAAATCCAGGTATTGCTAAATCTAAGTGATATTGTAGTGTTATGTCACAAATATATCCCCGATATCTTGAAGCGTTTAACGGATTTTTCATAATCTTATCATGAATATAAGATTATGTTGGACATAAGTAAATAAGACAGCAACCCAGCACAAATAACGATATAATTGGTTTCTTCGTTTTAAGTTAGATTATGAAGGTCATTGTTTACTTATTCAACAACGGCTACTACCTGACATATATATTTCTACATAATATTATTTTCTTAAAGGGAAAATTATTTGAATAAAAGTCGTTTGCCAATTACCTAGCTTAGCAACCCTGTCTATCTGATTTATAATGAGGACCATCAACATAGCGGTTGATTCTATGAAAATAAAAAAAAATAAAACTATTTGTTTAGAGAGCTTTTGAAAAATCACACTGATTTATTTGCGACTTATTAAAAAAATCTTACTATATATTCGGTTAAAAAGAGACATATAAAACATATCATATTATATATCTCTGGTAAAATCTAGCGATTAAAATGTTTTGTCTTCATGTTTAACCGAACAAATACGCCGTCTAATACTGTGTAATTGGAATTAAAACAGACATTTTAAGTCATTTATCATCCCTTTGACAAGCAGATAGTTTTCCGTGTCTGCGACTTGATTTACATTCAATAGATATTAGTTTTTTTTACTAGTTTTTTTTTTATCTTGAAAGCATAATTAATAACACCAACCATTGGTTAACGTGACATTTTAAGAAAGCTTATTTTCAAACGAATCCAATTGCTTTAAAGAAGCAATTTTTAACACAACTTCTCGAAAGATAAGTATATTTAGTTTTAAACCAATATCCAAAGAACATTTTACCATAGCACAAGTCAAATCTCTATAAAATAGCCAGGCCCACTCTTACACAAACTGGCCCAGTGACTGTAAGAGAAAAATGGTTCAAGTTAATTACGACAGGCTGCAATACGTTGCAATAGATTACGTGGTCCATAGTTCATTTGAACTTATTATAATAACCAACTATAATTAAACTTTATAAAAAATGCGAAAATTAAATAAAAAAACATTTATCCTTATTGTTATGACTTTCATGACTTTATTTCAACCGAAAACAAAGCTAAACATCTTAATGGAATATTTAAAAACAGGATTTTATGGGACATTTGCTTAGATTCATGATAATATAAAATATTCCATTTAACATATTGATTTAGAGGAATCATCGTTTTAGGGTATAGGTATAAAGTAAACTTATTTTTCAAATTGTCTGTATGACTTGCATGTTGATATTAGCAACGATAATGCAACAAATTGAGACGTAATCAATTATTGTGGTTATACAAAATTCAGTAAAACTGCTGTAACATAACCATGGTGTAAATACATATTTTGTATTTATATGCTGCTATAGACGAGATAAATACCTAAAGCATATAACATGCTTGAAAAATCACTATTGAAGGATCATATTATGGAATACATATCTTTTTAGGTGTTTCGTTAAAAGGAACTACACTTCTAGACAGCAGAGGGACAATCATAATAACATGCAATGCAACTGGTGCTGAACGAGCACCAGAGAGTGTGGATTGGTTTCATGAAGGCAGTATTATAAGACAGCAAAGTGCCAAGTGGTCAGGGAGAGTGAAGATTTCAATGAAAGCAGATGTTCTAAGACGTTCTTTAATTAGTCAGCTAATAATAGAAAGAAGTACATTAAAAGATCGGGGAGCATATATATGTAGAAGTCCTGACAAAATAATGAAAAGTATAGAAGTTCATATTTTAGAAGGTAATTGGATGTTATATTTCAACCATTTGGACAGCTAGACTACATATACATGTATTCATATTTCGCGTATGAAGACGCTGTGTCCTGACTTTACTTTTCTGGATAAGTTGGTTGTCCATGACCCCATTTACACACATGAAAACTAAGGTTCAAAATCCTTCAGTCAAAGTTGACCATAGATGAATTTGGTTTCTCATTTAGATCCCTTTTTGGTCATATAGCTCCTCATGTTTACAGGTCTTATACAGTCATCCTTAGTTAGCTTTCATTTTTGGTTTTTGACGTTCCTAATAAAAGTAAATCTAGAAAAGTGCTTCGGACGCATGAAACTATATTAAGTGTTATATATTCATTTTCTATCACTGGATCAATACCATTGCTGGCGGACTGTTAGTCTCCCAGAGTATCATCAGCTCAATAGTCCGTTCTCCATTACTGACATAATTCAGGACATCATTTTTTTTAATTCTCCGTTAAAAAATTTACAAATTATTTAAAAACTAAGGTTCCAACTCCCTCGGGCAAGGTTGACCTATGATGAATTTAGCTACTCTTTTAACGTCCCTTATTGGTTATATAGATCCTCATGTTGTCAGGTCTTATACGTCTGAAATATTTGGTTTTGAGTGTTCTTGATAAAGGTAAATCCCCCCCCCCCCCCCACCCCAAAAAAAAAAGCGCTTGGGACGCACGAAATTATCCAAAGTGTTACTTTCATTAAATGAATTCGTTAAATCTGTGTGTGGGATAAAGCCACAAAATATAGTTCTGTAGGACCTATGTTAGACTGATCCGGGTATTTATGAGTAGATCAATATGACTATTGACACAAGATGTAGTGATTGACCATACTGGAATATTCTGGCTGACTTAATGTTGTTCATTTACATTACATGTAAATAGTATTAATTCAAATGTTCTGTACATTCGGGACGATATGTACAGTGTCATATTAGCCATCGGGTACCGCCTGATCTTTACATATCTAAATTTGTCAAAATCAATCTGGTTCAACCACATCTTCTCTAAAACTAACATAAACAATTATATATCTGATTATTTCCTTGACAATATAGTTTTGTATTGTACCTGGTAAGCTGGCTTTGAAATAAAATTTCAAAAAATGTATGTTTAACTTTCCATAGATTCGTTCTTCCTCCACTTCAAACAGTACGTGATACAGAAACTATAACTGACTATTGACCATCGTAAAAAATAAAATAAGTCAGAAGCTTTCTAATTTTGTTTTTTATTTGACTACTCCTTTTGTAATATTCTGTACTTGTATCTATCATTTATTTACTATTTCAGATAACAATCCACCTAGCCGAGCGGTTAGAAATAGTGAGTACTAACTTCTTTCTTTATGTAAATCTGAATTCCGATTGTATTTTCTTTCAAAATCTATAAACTGAGCTTGTCTAACTCTAGCTGGCATGCAACTATAATTTATAATAAAGAACAAAAGAATACAACTGCACACTAAAGTATTTTTTTATGTTAATTAAATGTATTCACGTATACATGGTGAATGGCTAATACTTCACACTAGAACAAATTTAGCAGAATATACATTTGGTAGGATTTGTAAAGTTTATTGACTGGCATAAGGGGGGACAGAATGAGAGGTAGGGCAGATATTTTGCCTAACAATAATAGGTCAGAGACATACTCCCATAGTTGGATTACAAGCCTTTATGTTCTTTTGTATGTAAAGGGCTTTGTTTACGCAACACTTGGGCATACGATTGAACTTAACTAGCAATCGGGCATGGCTGTTTATACAGTGTATATTCATCCCACACAGCCGAACTTACGCCTCCTGTATACGAGTTTTAATGCTTTCGGGGGAAAGTTCGAGTGCCTATAACTTCATACATCCCTTTCCCTCAACCATTGGAGTGTAGTAATCACATGTACAAGTGTAGCAGGAATAAATGCACATAAAGAATTTGTACGAAGGTAATACTATGCATGATAGATGAATGGCACAAATTCAACAGTTTGGCCTATACTGGCAGTTTGTTATAGATGGACGGGATTGAACTATAACAAACGAAGTCCAATGTGATCAGAAGTCTACTTTATCAGACTTGTACGTGACCTGCTTTGCATACTAGTACGTATAATTAATATTATGACCTTATTGTAAAGTTAGTACTTCTTGTATGGTTATTATATTTTTCACATCGAAATGTTACAAAATGTTTTCATTTGATATTTACATTATCGTTTCAGAACTATCTGATGAACCCGCCAAGCCCAACAAAGCAGCATTGTCCACACTTAGTTTTATCATTTTTATAATGGCAGTTTCAGTATCGGCAACTTGATGAAGAAATGTCAAGACATATTTAAGTGCCTTGCATATATACTGATGTGAACATTATCTTCTTTCAAGATTGATTGTGAATGTAAAGCAAACGACAACCAACAGATCGTCTTTAAAGAGACATAGGATTGCAGCAAGAAACAAGGAAAATAAATAAATCATGATATAATGTCAGTTCCTAATAAGGAAAAAGGAAAAAAGAAGATGTATTTTCATGCAAGGTTCTAAAAATTGGAAATGATTATGCTCTTTAAAATTGCTCTACCTACCCTTGTGTAAGAGCTACATTAATACTGACATTATCCATTCGTAACCTTCTTGAGATGTGTGGTAACTTGTGCTAATGGACCTAAAGAAGCATTGATTTGACATTGAATAATAAACAATAATGTTATTTACAATTTAGAACTTCTTGATCACTTCACATTTTATTGTTATCATTATTTTTAAATTCATAATATATATATTAACAAAGTTCATTGCTGCTTTCATTATTTCTCTAAATGTTAATTCATGTGTGACCATGCTTGCTTCGTCTTGCTCATTTTATCAATTTCCATTATCATTGTAGGATAAATCATAGTATTTATTCTTCATTTGTTGTGTTACATATATTTATTATTGTTTCAAATTCCTGAATAAAAACTGTTTATTGTTATACTGTTGTGTTATACACAATGTACTTACAGAGTTATAATTACATATACAATGGTTTGATCATTGATATTTAGTGACATACAAATGTAACGTAGCTAACATAAAACAAAAGGCGAAAAATGGGTTGGGAAAGACTTGTACTTAAAAAGGAAAGTTTCTAACGATATAGAAATAAGGAGATGTGGTATGACTGCCAATGCGACAACTATCCATCCAAGTTCAAATGAAGTGGATGTTAGCAATTATAGGCAACCGTACGGCCTTCAACAATGAGAAAATTCCATACCGTATAGTCGGCTATAAAAGGTCTATACATGAAAATTATGAAACGAGCATTTTTAACGAGCGTTCAACCTTACACCGATTCAAGATTGGTATCTTTTTCTTTAAAAGTGTTGCAGTGGAAAAAATAAACGTTCTATACATTAACATGATCCAAAGATTTACATGTAGTTATATTCATGTGACATAAGTTCGTAATTGTTAAATTATTCACAACTTTCGCAATACTTTTTAAATTCTGTTATATAAATTGGCCATTTTCCAACTGCAGTTTAAAAATTATGAATAGAGTAGTCGTTAAATTTAAAAAATGAAAAGAAATGAAACAAAACAAAATAGTGCTGAAAGAACTGAACTTTGGAAAAAAAACAGTACTTGCAGTTATTTATGACAACTATTTGTTTTGTGTGTGGTATTTATGTCTCTAGCATAATGAAATAATCGTTTAAATTCATGAAAGTATATGCACGTTTAATTTTGTTTTTAGGATTTATTTTTCTGAAAATAGAACGATTTACAAACAGAATTAGACAAAAGGAAAACAAACAAACTTAATAAACACCAGATAATGCACTTATTCAATGATGTTGTTTTTAACTTTTCCAATTATCTTCAGATTATATACTCTTATTTAAGAGAAAAGAGACAGGAAATTTTTCGAATGCATATTTTCTAGTATGTTATTGTTACAGTGGGAATAGACGTTGACTAACAAATAATATATAGATGTATTTTGCCAATTTCAGTGCACCCCTAGAGGTAAAGCAAACGCTAATCAATCAATCAATTTCAGTACACCACTGGTAAACTATGAATCAATCAATCAGTGTCACTGCGCAGGGCACGTGATTCTAGAATAAATATCCACCAGCAATTCGCCGTTTTGAGATTTTAAGAACTATGGGTAATTTCATTGTTCGTACCCTCAAATGAATTACCGTTTTGTCATTTAATTAATGTCTATTGTTTGAAGGGACTTTAACCAATCACAACGTTTTGGTGTACGCTTTTGAAAGTATTACCCAAAATGCATTAGATTCTGAAACGTCGAATTGGAAAGCGAAAATAAAACATTTGTTTGCGCCATAAGCAAAAGAGCTTAACCTGTCGGCGCACGTAGTCTTTTCTGTTTTGAGTTTAGCCGATTCCTCCAATATATGTTTGTAAAAACTTGGGACTTGTGATACGTGAACAAAAGTTGCGTGGAACGATTTTTTTTTAGGCAATGCTGCATGAATATTTTTTTCATTTATCAAGCACAACTACTTTCAACGTTTTAGTGTCAGGGTATTAATTTGCAAGCTGTCTTTTGAAAAGTATTTTTTAAGTCAGTAGCAATGTCAGGTCATTTATATTAAAGATTAAACCTTTATTACATAATAGTAGTTTAGATTTATAATTCAACTTCATACGGAATATATATCTCTAAGTTGTCAATCATGAGCAACATGACTGGTGTCTTTGGTATAGATGGAACAGCTTACACTTCAGGATAACACTATGGTCATCCTGGTAGTAAATCCATACTAAGTGTGGCAACCGTTTGGGATGTATAAATCATAGACAAGTCAAGTTAAAATGTGGACATTACTGCAATTACTGCAGTAGGGAACTCGTCATGCTCTGTGCACGTCAAATGATATTTACAAAATCTTTAAGCTTACATGTATGTGGTCAATGCCAAATGAACAACAACAGTTTGACCAGCAGAATGTATAAATCATAGCCAAGACATAAACAACGATACATCAGTTTTGTCAGATTCATCAAAAACATTTTATAACACACAAAAGATCATTGCTTTAACAACGTCTAAAGTAATAAATATATCAGTTTTACAGTTTAATTAAACAGATCAATTTTTTGGTTTGTTTGCATTGATCTGTCAGAAAAAGAAAATTCTCATAAAACAAACAATAAGGTGAGAAAGATGTAATATATGTCTATCAATATTATATGCTGCTTACGTACAAAAGTTTGTTCAGCTTAATTTAAAAATGAAATATTTCCCATATGGGATCCATAAGTAAATAATTCACGAATAAAAACGACTGCATTTGATTGTTTCCGCTGTAGATTGGTTTCTGCTTTTTATTATGTGTTTTTTTGTTAATTTGCTGACCTAAACTAAAAAGGGAGAGGGTTGAGGTCGTAAAAGACTAGTTTAATCCTTCCACTTTTCCATGTACCTGTTCCAGGTCAGGAACCTCGTCAGCAGTTATCGTATGTCATAGTTTAGAGTTTTTCGCTAGTTGAGTCTATGGTGTTAATAACAGATCTTTGATTGTTTCTGTAAAATTTTTGCACAACTTTTATCGGTTCAGAACGATTAAAAGATTAGACATATTGTAGATACCTGTCTATTATTAAAAAACCTGTGTGTTACCCTTTAAAATGTATCTGCAAAACATGTATACACGTTTAAAAACGCATCCACACAGTACAATGAACATGTACTTAACTTATTATAGCGTTCATGTAATTTGTTTCCAATATGATATTGGAGATGTGTATGATTGCCAATGAGACAACTATCCAACAGAGTCCAAATGAAGCGGGATTAAGTATTTATAGGTTTAGGACAAAACAATTAACATAAAACAAAAATAACAGACGGCAACAAAGGACAACCACGGAAATACTGGCTCATGACTTGGGACAGCCACATATTGAATGTGGCTGGGTGAAACATGTTTGTGAGCGCTCAACGCTTCCCTAACCTTGGACAGTGGTGTAACAGCACAACATCAGAAAAAAACTAAAAATCAGTTGGAAATGGCTTGACTCGAAGCACAAAAACAACTAACATAAAACAAAAGATACAAAGTGCCGATCTAAGAGTTCTCGCAGTTACTGAAAGCTAGTTCAAAGCCAACAATGTGTCACATTTATAAAATAAAAATGAAGAGATGTAGTAGGATTGCCAATGAGACAACTATTCATAAGAGTTAAATTAAGTGGTAGTAAGCCACCAAACAGCCTTCAACAACGAGAAAAAACCCATACCATATAGTCGGCTACAAAAGGCCCCGAAATAAAAAAAAATATGAAACAATTCAAACGAGAAAACTAGCGGCCTAATTTATAATAAAACAAATAACGAAAAACAAATGCTTAGTATGACAGACATGAACCAACGATAACCACTGCACTACAGGCTCCTGACTTGGGATAGACACATAAAGAATGAGGCGGGGTTAAACATGTTTGTAGGCGCTCAACCTTCCCTAACCATCTGGGACATAAATCTGTTTGTACAAGTATTGTATATCATAATGATACTTTAATGCTTAAAAAATACGAACAATTTTCATCTAAATTATTTTGGGTCATATTTGTATTAAAATCATATAAGAGTTTCCATATGGTTTGAGATCCTGGAAATAAACCGTGGAGCCAGGTTCTCTTGAACTGACTTCCACCTAATATTTAAGAGAACAATACTTTCAATTCATCTGATTGAATGATATGTACTTCTTTTTGTTTATTTCATGTCAAGTATCAAATACGTCTTGCGTATTCTAGTCGAGAATAAATTCAATTAACAATAAATCTGTTGAGTATGTCTCTAAAATATTTCGTCCTGGATAAAGGGGAAGGACTTGAAATAGCCAATATAATAGTGGTGAATAACTATGTTAGAAACTGGTTCCTTGCGGAGCTCTCAAATATTGCAAGGATATGGTTCAACTCCATTAAAAAGAGGTGACTGATACCAAAGGAAGAATCAAAACTCGTTATTCAAAGAGAGACCGATAAGATCATGGCAAAAAATAGAAAACGACGAAAAGACATACAATATTCTACAAGTCCGGAATAAAACTTTGTACGCCAGACGCGCGTTTCGTCTACCAAAGACTCACCATCAGTGACGATCGAATCAAAAAAAGTCAAAAAGGCCAAACAAAGTAGGAAGCCGAAGAGCATCGAGGACCAAGAATTACGAAAGGTTTTGTCAAATACAGCTATTAAGGTAATCTTTTCCTTGGGTAGAAAATCCTAAGTATTTCGAAATATTCAAAGTGTTATAAACAATTAATTTATAATTATGACCATATCAATGATAATGTATGTCAACACAAAAGTGCTGACTACTGGGCGGGTGATAACCTCGGGGAGAAACCTCCACCAGCAGTGGACTCATCATAGGTACCATGAATAAAATTTAGTACGCCAGACCCTCGTTTCGCCCACAAAAGACTCATCAAAACACTACAGACTTAGTAAATATGCAGAGAGCATTCGCATGTCCCGACAGGATGCAGCAGATCTAATATACCCCTATCCCTACCTGACTGCACATTGTGGATGGGGGCTGCACTCCTCAGTTGAAGAAACCGAAAATACAATATTTCTTAATACCGGTGTACCGTCAGTGAGGACTGAATTAATCTAGGCATCCATATGAATGGGATGGACCCGTTTCATCATTTATTTGAAGATAGAATAAATGTTTTAAGTCATTTGGGATACAGTTTCAATATAAGTTGACAAAAAAAATGTGTGCATTCCATCACTAGACTAGACAATATTAAGATAACTTTTATTTCCATTGATTGAATGATGACGGATTTTTTGTACAAATAATTTTTCTTGATATTCATTTTTGATACAGCAGTTGATCTTTGTAGAGAAGATATAATTACATAGTGCTCCCATGTGAGCAATTATTTGTCGCGTAACAACAGTGCCTAAAAATTGTGGTTTTGAATTATTTAT